ATTAATTTTAATTCGAGCTTATGTGTCGGGAAAAAAAATATATTTCTTTTTTCGCTTTTTTATAGATTCAATCCTTTACGATATAGTTAAACATAGCGAGTTAAAAGAAATATCCTCTATATATATATATATAATATCTACTTGTTTCAAATTCGAAATAGATAAATGTGATATATTATATTGCTTGAAATAATTTATCGATTATATCATATATATATATATATATATATATATATATATATATAAAAATAATTATTAAAGGTAGGAACGTATTTAGTATTCCTAAATAGATCCAGCTCGAATTTAATCCTATAACGACAGAGAGTAGAAGCCGATAGTACAACGAACAATCGGATAATGAGTGTTCGACCGGTAATGAGCTTATTCGTAATTACGCACTGCGTTGCCTATTGGTGCACATGGAATAATTGTTATTCGACGATCATAGCTAGCTAACGCGACACTTCGGCCAATAATGATAATCGATTATGTCAGGCTCTCAACGAACACGGTGCACCTATTGTTCCTCTTGGTAAATTTATTTATCGTTCGATCCTATAATACCAATTAACTTCGATCGTTTCATTTGTTAAGATATTAAAGAGCAAATTTTTTCAAAGATAAATAATTTCAAGAGAAAAGTAAATTTGTAAAATAATAAATAAATAATTAAAAAATCAATAATTTTGCATTGATCGTTTTAACAAATTATTTGGACTTAGATTTGATATCTATACAGATAATATATGTATTTAATTATTTGCATTTTATTATTATTAATTATATTAATTTATTATCCACATTAATTTATGATCTACTTGTATGCTAATTTTAAATGTATAAATAGTTCTCATTTTTTTTTCTTTTTTTTTTTTTTGTCTAATCTTAATCAATTAAACACACGAATATATTTCGATTAAAATTGTTTTTTTTTTTTTTTTTGTTATCTAATTATAAAAGCGAAATGACATATTGAATGGATTAATATTTATATCAATTTAATCTAATCGAATTTTAATTGGATACTTAAATATAGATTTTTTTTTTTTTCTATCTTTTTATCTCGACCAATAAAATATTACAATTCGATCAGATTTATATTTAAGTAAAACGATTTATCGAACATAATCTTAATCGAAACTAGTACAAGTAGATAATATTAATATTTAATATAAATATTTAAGAATATATAATGTTATATTGTTTGTTTTAATAATAAAACTTATAATTAATTCATTTCTTCTTATTAAAACAATAAGTTGAATGACCGCAAAGGAAACTTTTATGCTTGGTACCTCTATCATAAAGTTTATCCAATAAATAATAAATCTTAGTATAATATAGGCTCTCTGCTATCTACTGAGACCTATCTATCATCCAATTACTATTTCCACAAGAATCTCTTATCGTTGGTATAACCATAAGCTTGAGGCTATCCATTTACCAAGATAAAGAGAAAGAGAGAGAGAGAGAGAATATCGTATGCATTCCGCAAGCGTTTATCGGAAGAAAATCGCGTTCCTTAGATGATTTACAAAAAACAAAAACCACACGGTATATTACATAATATATTTACTTTTATCAAGTATAATATAAAGTCTTAGGATAATAGTCATTAATATTTTAAAATATGAACGAATTGTTTCTACGAGATTTTTTAAGAAACTTATTCCACGATCAAATACATATATATATAATAAGTATATTAAATAAAAATTAATATTATATATATATATATATATATATATATATATGTATGTATTTAAATATTGTGATATTATTATTCAAGTTTCTCGATTTCTGTCTAATTGCCTTTCGGCAATGAATAAATAGAATTATCAAAATATTAATAAAATCTCGACGTAAAATTATCATTACAGTTATACAAGGATTATTTTTCTTTTCTACGTTTCTACCTTCTGGCTAAATTCCAAAGTACAAAATTATTCTCTCTATCTCTTTCTCTCCGACTCTCATTCTCTCTCTTTCTATCTTTCTATCTTTCTTTATATTTAACTTTCTTTTGGTGTCCCATTTTAACGTAAATGTTCTCTTGACACGAGAAAACTTCGAACGTAACTTTATTCCTGGACCGACACTTCACGATCTTTCAGCAACACTTTCAAGAATAAAGATTTGCTTCCAAGTTTTAACATCGTCCAAACTTGTATCGCGATATAGTCTTATGGAAAATGTTATTTAAAACGATTATTATTATTATTATTATTATTATTATTATTATTATTATTATTATTATTATTATTATTATTATTATTATTAGATAAGAAAGAAAATTAATTAGGTCGATCGTCGAAAAAAAAAGTATTATTATAGAAAAGATTTTTTTTCAAAAGTCTTAGCACTTAAAAATTTATTAAAAGTCAAGAAGAAGATTTCTACGTAAAGTTATATAAATTCTAACAAAAATTATAACGTAGATTGACGACTATTATTATTATTATTATTATTATTATTATTATTATTATTATTATTATTATTA